GAGAGACAGAGAAAGTTAAAATCCTAGTAATACATTCTCCAAGCTTTACTATATTTTTTGAAATACATCAGGTCATTCCCTTTGTGATAAAAATTTAGAAGTCAAACATTTATAACAATGTTCGTACTAGATAGAGAATAAAGGATAGAAACAGAACAACAGGATAACGAAATTCAAAAAGCTCGAAAACGTTCGCTAAAATGGCTAGGTCGAAAGGTTGACGACAACCATCTAAATTCAATGTGACATGGTCTTATCGGGCGTGACAGCCAATCGAGCGTATTTGATATCTCTTTCGCAGATTCGGCTTTTCGTTCAGTAGCATTGTCAGAACCAACCCTTTCTAAGTATTTTTTGTTCGTACTGAAACTTTCTGTTCCAGAAACAAGAACTTCCAGCTAGGAGTTTTCTTCAAATCAGAGTGATCTCTGTCACAGTATTAAAAAAGAGACTTTTTAACGAAGATTCGGAAAAGAGCCAAGATCTTAACTTTAGAAAGTCAAAGAATTAGAGCGGCTCAAAATGGAAACAGTCATAAAGCTTTTGGAAATGCTACTTTTCTAACACTTACACCCAGAGAAAGGTTTCTTTTATTCAAAGAAATGTTTCTTTTCTATACGGTTAAAGAAAAAATTTCTTTGATTTGAACGTCATTTCTTTGATTTGAACATAATTTTTTAAAATCAAATTAATTAAAATAAAAAACTTTTTTATTTGATTTAAAAAAATTATTTTCAAATCAAAGAGAAATGACGTTCAAATCAAAGAAATTTTTTCTTTAACCGTATAGCAAAGAAACATTTCTTTGGATCAAAGAAATCTTCCTCTGGGTGTACATACACATACCTTAATGAAAAAAGTTACACACAACTTGAAACAAAAACTCTATAATAATTAAATGTTAATCCTCCATCTGCAATCACATTTTATTTCCTCAATCTGCAATTTGGGTCTTTTTTCGGCAAGGCCAAGTTTTTTTATTATTTTAATAATAAGCTTTAAAATAATTAGAGCTACTTCTCAACACCTCTGTTACATCGCTAAATAATTTTTAACTCAAATATTGAAACTATAATTTTATTATTATTAAAAATTGAATTTTGAGCAAAAATGATGAAATTCCGTTTGTCAAAATGATCCAGATTGCAGACGAAGGGTTATGTAAATACATGTTTAACAAACTTTTTGGAGAGGGTTTTTCCACCCTTTTCAACTCAATTTATACGAGCTCTATGCCTAGAAATACGCGACATTTTTCTGATATTATTATAGCAGTGAGTATAGTATAATAGCAAAATTATAGTTTCGTTCTCGACTGAGATCGCCGTATAATTTTGCAATAAGCGATCCTCGACAGACGGTCATCGCGGATCCGAATCGCTGCCGAAAACGGCGCATAATATTGGAGGGCGAATTTTTATCTGGATTTTCATGCATATTTTCTAACGCCTTTCCATAACGAACTATCCTTCCTTGATTTGCATATGTTCTCTGATATTTTTCATTCTGTGGCTTCGCTATCGTTATAATGCGAATATTATGCCGGCATTTTGGAACGTAATTTGATCTCAGCTGATTTTCGTTTAAAATTGTGGATTGATCTTGCTAATTTAATTATGCATCAATTCTGATATCAATACACATTAATCGGAAAAAAATCAAGTAAGTTAGAATAAAAATAAACAGAGTGGTAAAAATCAAATGTTTCATCAGTAAAAAAGACATAATTATTGGAAAGTCAAAAAATTTTAGAATTCTATCTTTTACACAAAAAATATATGGTGATGCATCAAATCTACCTCGCCTGCATAATATTCCGAGAATTATAATCCACAAAAGTTAAATACATATTACGTATACATACACGTGTACCTGTGAGAAATGCAAGGCAACAAAAAACTGTAAACAAATTCCGTGAGTAACTAATCGATTAAAATGAATAATTGGCTTTTAACGTTATCTTCTTTGCTCCTTACACTAATTTGAAGAATATCGTTTTTAGGACGGCCGAATTGGTGCGCTAAGAAAACTTACGTTGTAATTTGATACACTTTGAATATTTTACCGGTTGCCACTTTACTAGCATTGCAAAGTTGATGTCCGATGTAATTAGCGTTCCGACAAGCGTGAAAATAATTCAAAGAATATAACGAGTCTATTCGAGACTATCATTTGTCTTTGAACAGATAAATTATCAAAGTAAGGTGAAATATACTAAAAGTTAGAAGGAACAAATAATATTTCGCAATAAAATAAATATAAATATAAATTATCGCTTCTTTATTTTAAAAATGATACAACTAAAAAAATATGATTTTCGAATGAGTTAGATAAACATTACCTTATCAATAATTAAAAGTACTTAAACTAACTTAACTTCATAACAAGTCGTCAAAACGTCACAACTCAAAATGGATAGTTTTTCAGAGTTATGAAACCAAAATGACATTTTATCAAATTGAGAATATATTTTTTTTATTTGGTGAATTCAACAATAATTTTTTGTTTAAAAATAGTTTTTGCTCTTTTCTGAGAAATTCAATCTTTTAATCTATCACTTGTGAAGTAAAGGAGCAATATTAGGCATCTTAGAAATTAAATCTATCACAATATCCTATAAATAAGATATATTATAGTTAAATCTAAAAATAGAAAGTGCCAAGAAAAAATGTAATATTATAATGCTGAAACTATAAGTAAAAAAAATATCAAGTAAGAATATTACAAAATGCCCGAGATAAAAATACCGAAGTGTCAAGAAAAAAGTATCGTGCGCAACGTCTAAACTAAAAATAGAATAAAGTCTTCAGCAGAAGACTCTCAAACGAGAGTATTTTTCTCAAGCAGAACCTTGGCACTTTTTCTGCCATCCGAAGCCCGCTCGCGAGAAAGGGCTCGTCGTCCCGTAATACAATCTATTTTTCGTTCTCATCTACGAAGCAAGACGACGACAGCGATGCTGGCGACGCCGACGGCGACGAACAACTCGAGATATAATTTTTCTCCGTTCGCGAGGATCATCCAGACATTTTTCATACTAAGCTTCAACGGCCGGGTCGACCCTCGTCGTTCTCTTCGCCGCATTTACCATCCTCGCTCGCGTTGTCGTCTCTTTCCCAGCACTTTGGCGTCGTTGTCGGGCGTTATTAAGTTTCTACGCTACCGCGCCCGTCCAAATTGCACGGAATGGAATCCCAAACAGAGCGCGAACGCCATTTCGAGCAAGAAGAATAATGCATCTAGCCGGCCGCGGAATTCGCTCGGCCGGTTCCTGTTTCTCAAGGTTCTTGGCAGTCGGACAATCTTTTGAATCCTAAATTGTAAAAAACTTATGTAGGAACTGCTATTATGCCAACTTAACTCTTCTTTAGTATTTATAGTTTCATGAAGAATAGCTATGATGTGATAAGGAACCCACAACACGTATATACAAGTTTAATCATGTTTTGACTTTGTGGAAATTTCTAGATAATATATAAACTATAATATATAAAAATTTTTGTTTGATATAAAATATTTATCACGTAAATAATTAAATAAGTAAAGATATATGTTAAAAAAATTTGGCTATATGGTACGTGTAAAAATGTGTATAGTTAAATTTATGACAAATCGCAGAGAGGTAAACTTTTGAAGTATTCAAAACATTTTTTTACACACAATTAATATTTAAATACAGTATGCATTTTTTTGCGGGTCCATAACTTACATAATAATACTTTTAATTTATGTAAAAAGATAGATTCTTTATATTAAGTACATTATCTCAAAACGTTATCTCAACAATACAAATTTTAATTATATTTTACAAATAAATGGAGAAACAAATAGAAGAAATTTTTTCCTGTACGTTTGTTTACTTCGTTAGAACTAGAATTAAAATATGCAACCTTTGATACTGTATGGACGTTAATAAACCATCAATTAGATTTCTATACTAAAAAATAAATGTTATCTTATTTCGAGGAAGATTTACCATGGAAAGCTTTAGAACGAATTACGATTGACTTTTCGACAAATAAGTAAAAGATGTAAAATTGCATTTAATTGCTATCGATAAGGACTGGTATATTCTCTGTTCGAGTACAGTTGGCTGAAAGTCCCTTTGCTGGTTCCATATGATACCAGGGAACATCCTAACCGCACACTTATCATAATTGAAATCCGATACTTTCCGCACGGATCGCAGCACGGTCGACACTCGAGAGCGGCGACTCGAGTGTTCCTCGACACGTTGTTACACGAACTTCGTCGATGGATCTATCCAATTACATTCACAGGAGAGTGGCAGACATGTCCTCGAAAACTCCGCTAAGTTAACCGAGTATTTGATCGGAAAGAATGGCAGATGAAATCGAATTCTAATATGTTTAAAAAACTTAAGCTTCTTGCGTGCGTGCGTGTGTGTGTGTGTATGTGAGAGAGAGAGAGAGAGAAATCAAAACTCACAAAGAACATCAAATGGTACAATAAATGAAATATGACAAAATTTGAAAGATCTCCGTTAAAATGTCTCTATTAATATGCCCGTTAACATTTTTCTTTATTTGCTAAAATTCAATATTTTTTCAATAGTAAGTATCACTACGTTGGAAATTATTTTTATGGTGTAAAATACGCATTCTTTGCGCTAAAAAAGAGTTGAAAAATAGATCTCAATTTTAACGTAAAGAATTTTTTCATAAAAGACCTAAAAATGATACCATCTATTTAAAAGTTGACAAGTTCTATTGTAAACGAGAAATGCTGACCTAATGAATGCCACATAACAGCTAAAATTAATGGATTATTTTTTGATAAGGCAAAAGCTTGTCGTCACATATCATCACAAAACAATGCAGTTGCAAAAACGCCGTCGGTGACGTAATCTTGCTAATTATTCTTGCAAAGCGATTTTATATTCATTGACCCGCGATATTGCGTATCGACTATCGTTGAAGTAATAATTTAATAGCGCGATATTAATCAACGTATTTCCAACGCTGGTTAAATAACAAATAAATATTCGTTCCCTTGTCGTTTTCCCTCTACGGCGAATTGCATTTTTTGCGTCACATTCATTTGCGAGATTGCAAGCAATCGTTACATTGGTGGACGTATTTATGATACAGTCGAATGTGCTCGAATACTATCTCTGTGGTCGAATGAAGATTCGATTTACATCACGCAACTTTTATAATGAAAAGTGACAACTTTGATACTATTGCCTTATTTTAAAATATTGTATACAGAATGTCTCATTTTAAATGACGACCTCAAATATCTTTCGAATCGAAAACATGTTTCATACAAAAGTTGTATGGTTTAAAGGGACGGAAATAATGGTAAAATTAATTTTAAAAGAATAAGTTTAATTTTTTACTATGGCGCCCTCTCAAGCCATGCAACGTTTGTATACGAAACACTTCTTTTTTAATGTATTGTTTAAGAGATACAATACTTGAGACCATCATTTTAAATGGAACACCCTGTATACTATATGATTGTAGACTAACGGAAAGAATAGTTGAAGCTTCCTTAAGCTTTTCCTCCTGACAAGAGGAGATGATCCCACGTCCACTGGATAGCCTTTACTTTCTGGCAAGTTTCCTGGTGCACCAATATCGTCCGCCGTGTCATAGAGGTTTCAGATTACCGGAGGAAAATCTTTATTGCGGACAGGAAAAGGAGTTAAAATGTGCAGCAACTGTCATCAAAGATAAAGCCATGGACGGTACGACGTACCACATATATGGTTGGCCGTCTTTACATAGCAGATGAATCGTGAATTTTACCAACGTCCTACTTTGTGTGTTTTACGACGCGGTCTCATACTTCGTAATTAAGAAGGATCCGACGACGGTGAAACTTTAAAGCAGAGACGACAGCTTTATCGCGCGTACCGTTCCAAGGTGTCAACGATATGTTCCTAAGCGTGGAAATTATAATTTTCATCTCCTATTGTATGATTTTCTTCTTCTCTACACATGTATATTGATGTTCATTATTTTTCCTTTTATTAGATTAATTCCCTTTCCTTGTTATTAGTTTAATTAGCTAAATAAAATGAAAGAATTAAAGAAATATATTTATGTCTTTACCCTGAACGGGGCTTGGAACTCATTTCTGATTCAAGTTCTATGCAGAGCCTGAATGGAAATATATATTTTGTAAAATATATATTTCCAATTTATATGTGCTCGCAGTAAAAGAATTTTCTTTTAATCTTTCCCTGCACAAAATTAAATTAAAATGAAATGTGATAAGTAGAGAATCGAACTGTAAAATAAATTTAATTTGTTATATACAGCCAACCAAAAATATAAAAGCAATCAATTTATTGTAAAGTAGAATTTTTGTTAAATAGAATTAGTTTATTTTACATTTTTATTTTAAATTTACATGTAGTTTTAAGAAATTAATTTCTTAAATGTAATAATATTATATACAGTCTTGGCTAAAAGTACAGCATCCTCAATTTACTGCATTTTCTTGGAAAACGCAAATAAAATTTAAAGGACAATTAACAAAATATTGAAATTGTTATAAAAATAAATATTGCTTTTAAAAAACTGTTTTTAATTCATTTTTCGTTAAATATACATAAAACATTTACGTCAATTTGTGGGAATGCTTTATATTTTTGGCCAAGGCTGTGTATATATGTATATATATATATATATATATATATATACTTATACAGATATTGTAACTTTGTGACTTTATTTGGAGACGCAGAGCAAAATATTTTCAAACTAAAATATAAATTATCTGCTTGCATGATATAATAAAACGTGAATGAAAAGGTTTCGATTTTGTTTCGATATTCAAACAAATCGGTGTGTATACAAAACAGTGTATTCAAAGGTGTAGAATATTCAGAATTATTTCACAGATGAGGCGATTAATGTATATTAAAAGAATGAGGAACGAATCGAGTAAGCAGTAATATATTTACATAATTTAACGTATTTACATATTTATACGTTTGCAGCATTCTTATGTGATACGAGACAAGTTCTAAAAATAAGGTATTTGAGAAAAAACTTGAAGAAGCACAAAATGTTTCGAATTAAAAGAAATTAAAGGAAACTCTCTCCCATCCTGCTTCTTACTTCTTTCCTTCGTTGCAGTAGTACGTGAGAACTTTCCAGCAGTTGCTTAAAATTCCCAGCGCCGCGAATAGTATTGGCATTCGATTTCACGAAAAACTCGCTCGCCTCTACTTTCGAGGCTCAGGAACCATTGCGTAGTCTCGCGTTTGACGACTTCGGTGGTTCGTTGCATCGGTACAAGAAGGAAAAAACACAGGAGTTGAAAAGGACGAAGTGAATTGATCGGCTTCGTAAGAGAAAAGAAGAGAAGAGAGAGAATCCGTGCGGAATTTAAATTGCTTTGAGCGAATCGCCGATGTATTTGCCTTTTTTCCCATCCTCGGCACATGCCCGGCGAGTTATCGTCCGTCGTAAAACTGCCACCGACTGATCCTTGAATTCAAAAACTATGGCACTGAGTATGCAAACATTTCTGATTATTCCATATAGGTCAAGCAAAGTTAGATTAACGCTAAAATGTAGCAGCTCAAGCAACTACATCTAAAACTTATAACCGTAAATTTACACATGATTAAATATTTAAATTTTTTGTTCATCAAATGTTTAGATTCCTTATTGTTAAAAAGAGGTTCTTAGAAAAATTATATATAATAACAAAACAAAATCAATACAGTGATTCGAAAATAACCGGATTTTACTTGTTCCTTAGACAGGTGGCAGTAAATTCGAAGGTAGACGTTCGTACTAGTCGAGGATGGCAAGTGCCCTAACAGAACCACCGGGCATGACATCACCAAGCACTATAAATTTTCTGACAATTTATTGGACGCTAACGTATCCTTGAGTCGGCATCCTCCTGGGAGCTTTCTTTCTACTGCACGAATCTCTCCTAGTAGAGAGAGTTTACTTCCTAAATCTGTGCGGAATCAATTGTACGACAATTTCGATATAACATTCAAACATTTGACAATCTTGCAAAGCTAAAGAAAATTTATATAAAGTTAGGAATATAAAAAATATTAGAGTTTTCTACAATATAAAATCTCAAAGATATTTCTCGGTTTTAAATATATTTAATTTCTCTAGTATACATTTTTAATCATCAAATTAAATCTGTTCCCTGGGACAAATGCCCAGATTCTTTCACTTTAAGCCTCACTCTTGGAATTACATATAATATTTGGATTTTTTTACTTAGACTTAAGGAAATAGATTTGGTTCAAAGGAGACACAGTTTCTTTTGATAGAAAAAATAAAAAAAGAATATAAATTCAAATAAGAAAAAATATAGATGCAAACATAAAAAGAGGACAGGTGCATCTTTGTACAGTTCTGCATTATTCAGAAGTTGGCAAATATTTTGCTTCAATTGGAAGGTTCAATACTCGCGACACAATTCTCTTACTTTGCATTCGGAAAGTCGTACTAGCATCGATATTTCAGCAACAATGTTCTCCAACTCGCAGTTCTCAGTTATTCCGTTAACGTGCGCCCGCGCGCATGCGACGAGACCTCATAATTAATTCAATTAAAATCTATCGCCTGCCGTCACTTGCGCCACTCGATCCGATCTATTAAATTGCTTTACTGAATCTCGGACTCGCCTACGAATTTTCATCACAAATGAATCCATTTCGAAGAGTATTCCACGACATATCGCTGTCGTAGCGCGGTTCGCAGGATGATTATGACTTGAACCACTCGAGAATACACGATCTGCAATCAAATGGTAATCTGCCATTCTTCGTTAACTTCATCTAATCATTTCGATCGGTTTAAAACAAGAGAAACGATAGGTTATGTAGCCATTAATCGTTCAAGCATATTTCTTCATTTTAAAACTATATTATGACCTGTTTATATTATAGATTGGGAATTTTTTCAACAAATAATAAACACTTTTTAACCCTTTCTGGATCTCATTTAGGATCACCCTCTTTCATTTTGTAAACTGCTCGTTTAATTTTTGTTTGGCTTTGGAAACTTGGCTTATGGGATAATTTAACGCTTTATTTGAGTCTGAAATTAAGAACAAAAAATAATTCAAAATATAGATAGCGGACAGAAATTTTTAAGAATAATCTGATTGTCACAATTATCATAAAACTCGATGTTTTAGGAAATTTTTAATTACGAAGTAACATCAAGTTTTCAGGTTCGCTTTAATAAAAGCTCATTAATGTTACTCGAACAATTAGCACTGTGACTTCCCAACTTTGATTATGAATCCTGTGACACCAGATCCTCCTTTACTAGAAGTTATTGCCTTTTGAAATTTGACGTTTTCGGGCTATATTCAAACTTAGCGATACCAAGACCCTCCCAAAACCAAGTTTTACAATAATGAGAGATTATTGTTTTTAATTTGAATTTAAAAATTCTGAGGCCAGAATCAAATTCAGCAACCCTGAAAACCCTTAACAAGGTCTTATTTTAATTTCTTTGTTAGAAATCCAACCTTTGAGGACTTCTGTCCTCAAAGGGTTAAAATACAATATTAAAAATTACGGATTTAATATCTTTTTCTTGTTCTAATTCACATTTAAGCTTCATTATCCTGACATGATTCTCTCAATTTTTGTTTTATCAGTCCTACCTACCATATATTTTACTGATTATTTAAACCAATTATCTTGCACAAGAATTGTATAACGATTTATGATCTTATGTCACGTATTTTTCACAATCGGCAGATAATTTAAAAGTCCATTTGCGCATCTTGAGAAGCGTGCAGAAGGAAATCCGGCAGCGTAGAATTGGAGTCTAGAAGAAGAGACTGTTTCCTAGATGCAACTTCTTGCGTCAGATAACGAGGTTATCCTCGAGGGAGTCGATTACATTGTCGTACATCCGTGCTCTATACATTTCCATCAGCCGATTCTGACGTGCCATCTTGGCTTACAACAACATTGGCTCTTGTTTCTTCGCCGCAAATTTCCGAAACAAAAATTCATTAATATGAAATGAAGATTGTATCTTCTCTCTCTATAATCTTCACCCGACATTTCCCTTACGGCTCCATTGAATAAATAAAATCGTGCGTTACATTAGATTATGTTATAGTTTCTTCAAGGAACGAAGAATCTAGGACGGTTTCTTTATAAATGATAACAATGAATTCAATGACTTGACAAAATTACTTTCAATTCAAATCGACGACGTGATGAGCTTTTGCTCGACCATTCAATTTAGTTTCATGTATACAATGGGAAATGGTTTGAAAGGATAACATCGAACGTATGCATGTTTTTTCAAAGTTATATTGATATTTAATCTTCTGTAGCTGACGCCAAAATCTGTAACGCAGTTACTGCCGTTGCAGACGCTAGATCTATAAGACCCATTTAATTTATATTAATTAAAAGGTAACAATTAGTTTCAAGGAAACAAAGTGACAGAAAAAATGAATACTAACAACTATTGTTAGTATAGTTTAGTAAGACTAATCCATATTTGCAGATGTAACGTAAGAAAAATTGAATTGTTTGACATTTTTAAAAAGAAATTTATAATTGTAAATGGATCCAATAGATTCACGTCAGTTCTAAAGGTTAAGTATTTAAAATAAATAAATCAACAATATCAAGGAAGCTAAAGTGTAAAAAAGATAAAAAATATATAGATTTAAAATATTAATTTAATATAAATCTATAAATATTTAGAAATTCATATATTTAGGAAATTATGAACAATTTTTTGAGTTTCTATCTATTCCGCCAGATTTATAAAATTTTTGTCTTCTTTGTAAATCGATAAGCAATTATCTTAATGTTTGTTCGACTTTGCAAATTTCCCTCTTCTTTTCAAAGATTAAAAATATTTTTACGCAATGAGAGTGCGGCGGTTTCGTTGCCGCCCCAAAATGTTTGTACGAGTAATTGAAGATGATGGAAAATATTAAGTGTCGATTGGTTGAGGTGAGGTGGAGAATGTGGATTCACCAGAGCGACTTCCTTCGCGTTTTATGAACCATGTTTGCTCACTTTCGTATTTTTAGCCCTTTTTTCATCTTCTTTTCCATTTTTTAGCAAAAGAACGGCTGCATATCAGTGTGACGGTAAGCCTGGAATTTCTCCTCTCTGCATAAGGGTTTGTAAACTGTCGACGGAGCAAGATACATAGCGTTACAATAAGGTAGTCCCCCGCCCACCTTGTGTCGTACATGTATAGCTACGTATACGTACGAAGAATTTTGTCGAGCAGGCGTAAACGAGACACAAAGTTCGCAATGTTGTGGCCGTCTTTCCGAAATAAAATCGTTTTCACACCGTCTTCATAACTTCACACATTTTTCGTCCTTTCGGTTCCGCTCGCTAGCTTTTATTTTTCGTAATATTATATTTTTATCTACCCTGTTTGAAAAAACATCCAAGTATCTAAAAATTCAAAATTTCTAAAAACTAAATATTATGATATTGAATCGAACGGGAATCAAGCAAATATCAACAAACTATAATTTTTAAAAATTTTACTAACTTTAAAATCTAAATATTATATTTATTAAATGGAATTTTCATTACTGTGCTATGAATAATATGAATCGATTTTGCAGAAAAAGATACTGTTACATTTTTTCCGATAAAAGAACTTCAGAAATCAATTTTCTTAAAGGTTATATCTTGTATCGTCCCCCCCCCCCAAAAAAAAATATATATATATATATAGAGAGAGAGAGAGAGAGAGAGAGAGACCCTCTAATCAGAGTCGCGACACAAGAAACGCAGACACTCTAGTTAGAGACTGTTACAGATTTCTCTTTCTTTACAGGGTCTCTACTTTTATCAAAATCACTCGAGAGAGAAACATATATGGTATCCTTCTCGTTCACACGTATCTAACCTAAAATTAAATTTTAATTCGTGGAAATGAAACGCTGTGAAACACGTGTTAAATTTTAAAATTATTAAAAAATTGTTGGCTGTGCAATCCCCTTTTGTAATAATTCAACAGTCAAAGGTTATAAAATAAAAATATTTCCTAGAGACAATGAACGTCGTGCTTTACAAAAAAACGTTGCGGGAATAAATTAGACGCTAAAAGACGGTTCGTTTCTCTGCAAGGTTAAGTAACATTTGTGTTTTTCGACATATAGTATAAGAAATTTTATTAATTCCTTATAAATTCGTTGTACTGTTTAAATTAATAAGTGATTTAAAATTAATAAGTGATTTAAATTAATAAGTTATTTACATCAATAAGTGACAAATATAAGTATTTGTATAGGTGGTAATTGATAAAAAATGGCAAACGAATAAAAAATGGCTGTTTCGATGTCGCGACTCTGATTAATTTAGACTCTTTAAACTAATAATTTTAAAGTTACAGAATCAAATTTATCGCATATTTAACACAGATATCTCAAAATGTATAAAGTGTCAATGATCTTTTTAATGTCAAGAATGTTAAAGTTTAGATTGTATCCAGAAATCTTAATATTTTATTATTAGCCAATTATTTTATCTTCACATTTAGACAGATAATAAATTAATATAATTGACAAACTATTCTTAAAAATTTTCGACATGTAATTTTTAATAGAAAAAAGAAAACGGTTATGGAATATAAATGGAGAGTTGTGAAATATCATAATTCTTGTATAGAGTTTGCGTTGCATTGTGGGGACGACCGTTAAAATTACTTCTTCACAGTCTGTTTACAATTAGACGTTATAACATGGCCACTGGTCATAGTGTTTACTGCATTGTCGTAAAAACTACATTTCAATTTTAGTAGCAAACAGTTTTACAGGTGTGTACTCTTTACACAATTTTGAGAAACAAGTGGATATTAATTTTGAACCTTCAATCTAACTTGGAGGTCTTGAATGTGACTTTCAAATTACATTAATTATATTAATTGAATTAAATCTAGTAACGAAATGTGTGCATATATCCAACGTGTAAAGTTATATTATATACTAGTTGAATATTTTATCTCTCCTTCTATACCATAATCGCAATCTTTTCTTTTCCAGCTTTTGGTAAATTACATTTGTTCATATACCCGAGAACTTTTATCTATAGCAATTGATATCATTCTATGGTTAACAAACTTGTACTAAAAGTAGTTGTTATATATATATATATATATACACATGAATTGTTTCAATAAAATAAAATAAAATATTCCATAATCCCTTTCCTTCTTCTAACAATTTTCTACAATTATCAAATACAGTCACTCATGCTTGTAATTTACTTATCTTTAGTATTCTCAGCGTTTGTTCTTTTTACAATTTCTCTGTACAATTTCAATGCTTGTGTAATGAGAATTTGGAGTAGTGGGCAAATCTTTTGCGTTCTTTTCAAGTAAAGCGGCGTGAAAGCAATTTCAATATTTGATCGGTT